AACATTCTTGTCCTTCCACTCATTTTCATCACTTCACTGCACTTTATATTAAGGATATTTAGCTTTCCATCTCTATTTAGCTTGAAACCAAAATTACCAATTGGCTGTTCTTGTTTAAAAAACATATTCTACCGCTTTGTATATACTTGCATATCTCGTTGCAATAATCACAAGTCGATTAATTAATTCTTCAACGCCTTTTTTACTGCAAAGAGATCAATCATATTCAGGTGGAGGAAAAAAATTTAATCTGAAATTAATTAAAAAACTTTCGGCATTTTTAGAAAATTGATAAAGGGATGATTATATAGTGCATGTTACATTGTAGTTCATGTTTTTTATTTCCGTTCTAGGGGAAGAAGTAAAAAGAAAAAATGGAATAAGTATCATCGAGCTTCGATGGAGGATGGTCTCATTTTAATTTGTTATTCGTCAGCATGTCAACGTCTTACATAAACTGGGATATCATTTGCTCTATTTCCTTGGATAATTTTGTTCAATTGTTGATTTTTATTGGGTTAACGTAATTTTATGGTTTAAGGTTTCTTTTTTCGTATCTATAAAACGCTTTTTTCGTCATTGTCGCATGAAAAATTTTCACTCGAATGGTCATTTCATCCATTGGTGTAGGAAAAAAATTTCATTTATGGTTAAATATTTGAAATATGGCTTTGCATGAGGGAAAAATAGGTGTTGGGATTTACAATTCGGCTTCAAACTCCTCCTGAAGAATCTATACATGTTATATTTCTTAAAAATTTTCAATCAAAATTACTGACTCCGAAAAATTTAATTCTATTCCAGTAAAAAAAATCAAGGAAGACGTGGAGCGAAAAATTTGTACAACATCGGCGTAAAAATTATTGTAATGTATTGTTTTTTCATCGAACGGTATTTATAATAAATTTTTCGCAATTCAACATATTTAATTATTTCAATGAATTTATTTATTTGCGTAAGTCTATCGAATATTTTTAATCAACGAATTCGAATCTTTTGGTCGAATATTTTCAGTGAATACTAGATCAGTCATCGACCGATTCAGTGGATAAATTCGGAAAAAAATCAGTTTCGAACTGTTGCAATTTATGCTCGAGGTCAGGAGGCCATAAATATTTCGGAACTAAAGGGGAATAGTGATATTGTAAGGGATACCTTTTTGCACTTTTCATTTTTCTCTATAAAAAAATCTACAAAAATATGAATATCTTTTGTAAATTCTGAGATATTACCTAAAAATTAGCCTCTTAAAAATACAGTTTACCCAATTTATCATTTTACTATAGAAATTTGTCTTTTTGAATTACCGTATATAGAAAATTCTCGTATTTTTAGGAGTAATACGTTGAATTTTTAGAAAGGAAAAATCTTTCCCATCAGTTGAATTATTTTTTTCCATCTAAAATAAGAGTGGCTATTGATAAAAAAGGCAATCAGTGGAGGTGACGATGTCAGGATTAATTTGGTAAAATAACTTCAGCAGATTGTTCAACGACTTCATTAGCCCCAGAGTCTGGGCTTTCAGTAGTTTCAGAAATTTCCTCTTCGACAGGGCTAGGCTCGGTTGGGATTATTGTGTTTGAAGGATATGGAATGTTAGCTTTGTCCATATCGAGCTCTATCCAGGTATCACCAATCGTGGATTCTGCAGGACTTCTAGGACGTACTAGGGTCCAGAAAGAAGACATGACGTCGTCTGAGTCTTTTCGTATTAGATACCAGTGGCCTAACCGAAAACCCCAATCTTTTTCAGGATTGAATGCAACATTTGCTGGAATTGGAATAAAAATATGAACAGCAAAGTAATTGATCTCACTGTTTTCCGATTATCAATTGGCAATTAGAAGAAACGGGAATTTCAAGAGTTCATTACGCATATCTATGATCAGTTTCTCGATGAACTTCTGCCAATCATAATTGTCCCTCGTCGTACCTATGATACCCCTGAGATCTGGGAGTGCTGAAGGGTTATCGAATATACGTGTTTTCATGTCTCTCAGCCAGTCTAAGATACTTTCTGCAAATTGGGACTGTCCCCCGAAATGCATTCCGTTACCTTCAAACGTAAATGCAAATAAATATAAAAGATTTGAAAAATCGAAAAAAAACAAAATAAATTTTTACACATTTCTGTTACCCAAATTCACTTCGAACTATTGGAAATTATGAAGTGTTTGGTATATGGTATACGCAGGCATGTGCAAAAAAATGTGATCAATAAATGAAATTTATAACAATATATTATATATCGTCTTCATGTATTCTTTCCTATTCTATACTGAAAGTACATACCATTATATTCAGTTGAATTAATAAAATGGAATCTTTTTGAAATTCAATTTTAAATAATTAAAAAATAGATATATGTATAAAAAAATGTATGGATACATATTTTTTACATGTATTATAATTATCTTTTAACATTATTTTCATAAACTGAGCTATGAGGTGAGAAACTCTGACACTTCTCATTAAATCTAGATTTTTTT